CCCCCCCCCCCCCCCCCGTGGTCAAGTATTCCGAATTCAGAGGCTTCGCCACGGACTCTTATATGTTTAGGACAGTTGCAGCCTCCCGGCGGCGTTACGTGATAAACTTTGGCGACCTTCTGACAAGCAAAAATCATACGGGGAAGCCAGATTCACTTAACAACCATGTTACTAACTTAACAATTGCAGTGATTCACTTAACATCTGGCAAGAAAGGTAGTAAAATGGGGCAAAATTCACTTATTTATCTTAGCAACAGAAATGTTGGGCTCAGTTGTCACAAATCAAGGACTTAATTGGATTAATGGTAATTATATTTTGGTGGGGATAGAATCAAGTGCAAATCTAGCCTTTGAGTTAATTTCAGGGTTGTTAAGTTGTGGAAACCCAAAATATGGGTTTATTCAGTAACCAGGTTAGCCACAGTATATAGCTTGAATGTAGTGAGTTTTAAATCCTTCGGTTTTAATGTCTTAATTCTCCTCCACTGTGTACGTCCACTGACTGAAACTAGCTCTTTGGACGAGGTACGGTTGTAGTTGAACCCTTTGTCGAGAGAAGGCTTACAACTGAAATGACAAAGTACATTTTATAAGAATATACCATTTTGCTGAGCGTCATGGGTGGGTGATTGGATGCAAGTATTTTATTCCTAGTGGGAAATATTCCTGGAATGACTTATGTGAGATCAAGTAGAAGAATAATAAAATAAAAATGAAATTTAGACTTATAATCTAAATCAGTGGTTTCCAGTCTTTCTGGCTCTGTGGTCCAGCAGTGGTGGGTGCTGGGAGAGGGCTTCATGCGTGCGCACGTGGGCGCTTGCCCATCACTTCCGTGCCCTGGTGAAGATTGGGGATCCCTGATCCAAATGGCAGGTTTTCTCAATTCTCCAGCTATTTTGGTTTTAGTTTCCATAATTTGCAACCTTCAGCCACAAGGATTGAAAATTAGAGGAGAGGAATTCCCAGGTATCTAGGGAGGAGACTGAAGTAAAAGGATGAGAAAGGGGGTGGAAGAATAAAGAGGGAAAACTTAAATAAACAAACAAACAAACCTACCTCCTGGGCTGGGATGGTAAGTAAGTTCTGTTTTCTTGCTTGGCCTTTTTTGAGATCTAATAGTTTCATTTAAAAATCAAACCAGGAGGCCCCTCCCAGATCTGATGTCCAGGTATCATTCTTTTCTTTTAGCTGTCCTTTGAGTAAAATGTCCATGGATATAACATTTCTGGGGACGGGGGCTGCATACCCATCTCCAACGAGAGGGGCCTCGGCTACGGTAATCCGTTTTGAAGGGGAATGCTGGCTGTTTGATTGTGGCGAAGGAACCCAGACACAATTTATGAAGAGTAATCTCAAAGCAGGTGCGTTGAAGAGGTTGTAAATAACTTTCCAAATGCTGGGAAAAGTTGGGAGGGCCTGGTCTTTTGCAGAATTAGAATAGAATGGAATAATAGATTTAGTTGGAAGGGACCTTGGAGGTCATCTAGTCCAAACCTCTGCTCAAGCAGGAAACCCTATACCATTTCAGACAAATGACTGTCCAGTCTCTTCTTAAAAACTTCCAGTGTTGGAGCATTCACAGCTTCTGGAGGCAGGTTGTTCCACTGATTAATTGTTCTCACTGTCAGGAAATTTCTCCTTAGTTCCAGGTTGCTTCTCTCCTTGATTATTAAAAAGTTATAGTGTCCTACAGTCACATGACTGCAATTGATGACTTTTTTTGCCACTTTCCAGCAGAAAAGTCCTTGTCCTGTTGCTTTTATCTCCCATTTATTTTTAACTTTAATTATGTGCAGCCCTGGATGCTATCAATCTTATTTTATATTGTTAGGCAAGATTACCAAGATTTTTATAACTCATCTGCATGGGGACCACGTCTTTGGCCTTCCGGGACTGTTGTGTACAATCAGCCTGCAGTGTAGTCCTGACGCCCGCAAGCTGCCGGTGGATATTTACGGACCCCTTGGGCTAAAGGATTTTCTCCAGACAGTCATGGCGCTTTCCCGTTCTCAGCTGCTTTTCCCTTACGTTGTCCACGAACTGGTTCCCACTTGCAACCAGTGCCCTGAGGAAGAATGGGCTGACGTGTTTGCTGGGAAGCGAGGTGAGGCCAGCTGTCCAGAGCCACCAGGAGACGTTATTCACCTGAATCTCGCAGACGACTCGTACTTCTTGGAGGACGGTGGGCCCGTCGTGATGAAGGCTTTCAGACTGTTTCATCGTATACCTTCTTTTGGGTTTCTGGTCGAAGAGAAGCCACGGACCGGCAAGCTCAACGCTCAGAAATTGAAAGAATTAGGTAGGAGTGCATCCGGCTCTGCTGGTTATTATACAGCTGTTCCTTGACTTACAACCATTTGTTTAGTGACAGCTTGAAGTTACAACAGCTTGGAAAAAATGACTTATGACCTTTTTTCACACGACCATGGCAAATCCCCGTGGTCACGTGATAAAAATTCGGATGCTTGGCAGCTGGTGTTACTCACTTAACAACTGTCCCAAAGATGCTTTTTTCAAGAGGCAACTGGACTTTCTTGTTTTTCCTTTGAAGAGATTTTGCTTCTCGTCCCAGAAGCTTCTTCAGCTCTTGACTGGAGGGTGGGGAAGGGAAGGGTTTATACTCCTTGCAGACAGCTGGTCATTTGCCTCCTTTTAGATGAGAGTCCTTGAGGCCACCTGGAGGCTTATCTCTGTGTCCTCAGGGTCACCTGAGTGGTCCAAATGGGTGTGGAGCCTCCTTGGCTGTGGGATGTTTCCTGCCCTGGGTCCCTTCAGTGGAAATCAGACAGTCCAGCTGCCTCCTGAAAAAGCACCTTTGGGACAACCAGGACCTGGATGACCGAGAATCTCCATAGAAACTTAGCAACTGCTGTGATTCACTTAATAACTGTGGCAGGAAAGGTCGTAAAATGGGGCAAAACTCACTCAATGGCTATCTCACTTAGCAATAGAAATTTTGGATTCAGTTGTGGACATAAATTGAGGACTACCTCTAAAAGCTGATATTTCCAGAAGAACGGTGTTATTGGTATTTTGTAACACAGACAGGCTTTTAGGGTATTTTCAACCAGCTTGAAAATACGGTTGCATGGATCAGAATTCAGTTCAGAAATAATGGAAAGGGAAGGACGAGAGAAAATGACTGTATTGGTGATCAAAGCCCGTATTTGGTGTGTTACAGACACTTCAATTCCTTCTAGCTACATCTCCCATTTAGTAACTGCCCAGAAAAATAACTATGTGGATTCTTTGCAGCAGAAATAACAGAGTTTGTTAAGAATAGAAACTAACCAGTGTATATGCTTTTGTGCATTATATCTTCAGATGCATGGAGTATATTTACTCCTCATGCCTGTAATTAAAACCACCCCACATAGCAGGTCCTTGTTTAGTGATCACAACTGGGACTGGCAACTTGGTTGTTAAGTTGAAACAGTTGCTAAGTGAAACCATGAGAGTGCTTGTCATCTGATTTCAGTTTTTCTTTGCTTTACAGACCTGCGAAAGTTGTAAATGTGAGAATTGGTCACAGTTACTTTTTCATTACTGTTACAACTGCAAATAGTTGCTAAATGAGGCAGTCACTAAACAAGAACTACCTGTACTATTCTACTCTGGGAAAATTGAAAAAGAGAGATTTTCAGTTCCATCTTTATACCACCAGCTGAACTAGACTGAAGTTTTGCAGCACTTCTGCAGATATTACATGCGTGACTATGACACAAAATTTGGTGACTAATAGCTTTTCGAGCAGATGAAATGCACGATTCGTGCTTGAACTGGTTTTCTCTCCCCCCCCCCAAAAAAAAATATTAAGATGTTCAAAAGGATACTAGAAGAGGAAAGATTGTGGATGAGGGGACAAGTGAAAGCAAGTACAAGTGCAGTACTAAGATGAGTGGCATATAAATTTAATAGAATAAAAATGAGAGAAGTTTCAATTTTGTGTGCACAGCTTATTTATTTATTTTTGTTTTATCATCTATAAATAAAAATGTAAATGTTCGTTTGTTCAAAATCTTAAATCTCCGAAAGTTCTTCACTGATTGCTTTGAAATTTTGACACAACGTTGCATTCGAATACGCGCGTGTTTTTATATACCTATATTATATAGATGTCACATTATATGACAGGTAAAAACATGCTTTTTTTGAAAAACAGCACCATCTGTTGGACGTAAAAGCAACACACGCTTTTACCAGACTGAGCCACAGCAACGCGTGGCCGGGTACAGCTAGTAGAGAATAAAATACAAACAGTAAAACAAACAAAATGAAACAAAAGCATAAATTCAACACTAACAACAAAAAAGAAAAAAATAGTGTACAGAAAAAGTGGTCCATTAAATTTATCATGTGCACAGTTTCAAACACAAGTATTCATAAGGTCTAGAAATTTGATCTCTTTAAAAGGGGAAGGTTGGTGGATTTTAGAGTTATGGAGTTACTGCACCAGAAGTCTTTTTTTTTTTTTAATGAAAAATAAACTGCACAAAAGTTACTCTTATTCCTGTTCTTGAATTTCTAGGAATTCTGCCGGGCCCCTTATATGGGAAATTGAAAGAAGGTGTTCCGATTACTCTGGAAAATGGGACAATCGTCTCTCCTACGGATGTCTTAGGAAATCCTTTTCCTGGAAGAAAAATTTGCATTTTAGGAGATTGCTCGGGTGTGGTTGGGGACGGAGTGAGGTTGCTTTGCTCTGAAGCCGATGTCTTGATTCATGAGGCCACGCTGGATGACAGCCAGGTGGACAAAGCCAAAGAACGTGGCCACAGCACGCCGAAAATGGCAGCAGAATTTGCTAAGCTGTGCAAAGCGAGGAAGTTGGTCCTCTCTCATTTTAGTCAAAGATACAAGCCTGCAAATCAGATGGGGGAAGGAGATGCAGACGTTACAGAGCTGAAAAAGCAAGCTGAGATGGTTTTGAATGGTCAAGAAGTGGTATTGGCCGAGGATTTTATGACAATTAGTATTGCAGTTAAAAAATCAAAATAGGACTGCTGGACAACAAAATGGAAATTGGCAGGTATGCAAAAATTCCAGCTGTGATTTTCTTTCAGGTGATCATCTTGGAAGAGACTGAAGGAAATTCGGTTTGAATTAAAGGATGAGCCTCTTCTTATGAACATCTGTTCTTTATTGCATCCAATATTTCTGATGCATTTGTAATGTTGACAAATGTGCTTTTTTATGTGCAAGGCCTTTGCAAGAGGGATTCCTTCCTTGTAAGACAAACTCTGTGTGTTTTAGTTATTTGGAACCGAGGACTTCATGAACGAAGGCTGCGGTTTTTTTAAACGCTCAGTAACACATGGGAATAATTGAAGTTAGGGGTGGAAAACATGGTTTGAGGAAACATGCACCTATTCAGTTGGGAGATTTGTCCTCTTAATGCAGAGTGCATAAGAGTGTGCCAAGAATGAATTTGAACAATCAGCATTTTCTGGAAGTGTAATAAATGCAGAATACTTATGCTGAAAATATGAAATACAAAAAATGAATAAAATAGAGAGTTAACAAGCTTCTTAAAGAAGTCACAAGAAAGCCCTACACTTCCTTTCTTCAATCAGATCCTGACAGTCCATTTCACCTCTTTATTCCCATAAAATTATTCTATAAATTTTTAGCAAAAGTTGGAAGTCACATAGTGTCAAACAGATGGACTAAGATAAGGAGATCCAAGTTTGCAGTTGGCTCTGGGGTGGCTTGCGAGATGTGAAGTCCAGCGTTGTCAGAATGCAACACAATTTCCACCTTGTGCTTCTAAACTTGATTAATTGTTGCTTCAATATTTCAAGTATTTCGGTATCACAAAATTTTCAGGAAAAGAGATGGAAAGAACTGTCATCACCTGGTTGAAAGCAAAATGTGGACAGTTGTCCATCATTGGCAGAAGTATGTAGGAAATGGTGGTGATTATAGGTCTCCTCGCTTGATGACCAATTGTTAGCAACTGTTTGGAGTCACAGTTAATCCTTGACTTACATCTATTTGTTTAGTGATTGTGCGAAGTTACAACAGCACTGAAAAAAGTAATGTATCACATTTTCACACCTTATATTATAACCATTGTGGCATCATCCCCATGGTCACGTGATCAAAATTCAGGCTCTTGGCAACTGGCTCATATTTATGACAGTGGCAGAGTCCCAGCGTGATCCCCTTTTGCAAAGTCAGTGGGGAAGCCAGTTTCATTAACAACCATGTTACTAACTTAACAACTGCAGCAATTCACTTAACAACTGTGGCAAGGTCGTAAAATGGGGCAAAATTCACTTAATTTTCTTGCTTAGGAATGGACATTTTGGGCTCAATTATGGTTGTAAGTTAAGGATTACCTGCGCAGTGGTGCTGAATAAATTGTAATAATGGCTGGCCCTGTAAGTTAACTGCTGTTGCAGCACCCCCATGTTCATGTGATCAAAATTTGGGTGCTTGGCAACCTGCCCACATTTACAACTGCAGCATGTGCTTCAACTCCCAACACCTGGCTATCTCCGTCTCCCGCACTTTGGGCTGCCCTCCACTCCCACAACCACCTGTATCTGCTGCCCCCTACTGGTCCCAGGTGGCCTTCAAAATCTTCCTCTGCTGCTGAGGTGTGCCAGGCTGAGGCAGCTGCTGGCCCTTCGTGAGCTTTGTTAAAGTCCATGCAACTCAAAATTCCTGAGGTTGAGAAACGCTGGTCTATGCTAATTATTTGCAATCTTATTTCCAGGGTTTCCGGGAAGTTATTGCACCTTTTGATATATGAATATAGAAATAATGTAAATTCTTGCCCCTTGCTTCTTGCCTGCCTTTTATCTTATTTTTGCCAGCTGTTTTTGATGTTTGCTATCTTTTAATAAATGAACATCAAACTGTATTCTTGTTAGGTGAACTTAGGGCTGTGGCTGTGGATTGAAAGGTTGAGCGGGAGTGTGCTGAACACAAACTTAGTTGGAACCTAACTGGTAGTTTCCCAAAACTCAGATGATAAAATGAGGACTTAGAGACAGACTATAGAGTGGAGCCAACATTAGGGAAACTGAATCTGTTCAAAGATTAGATAACATGGGTTGATGCAATCCAGCTGTGACTTAACTCAATTCAGACATAAACACTACAGAAAACCAGTTGTGGTTTTGAAATGCTTTGGTAAGCAGTTTTGGTTTGCTTTTTGTGTATATGTGTGGCAAGAAGGGCAGCATTAGTCATTAAGGGTGGATGTTTTCACTCACTGGGGCAATGCAGTTCATTTACTGGCACAGCAAAAGAGCTTTGAGGAATCTGGAGACACAATGTGGTTTATCCATTTTTAGAATAATGTGTTCTTGCCCCTTCTTTTTTATTCTTCCATCCAAGTGCATCCAGAAGTTAAAACCATCTCTACATTGTTGTGGTCCCACCTTAGCTGAAATACTTCAGATCTGGTTTTATACTTGGTATAAAGGTTGAATCCTTCCCATACAAATAGAAAGTGATTTGGACAAAGAAGATTCTAACTACAGGTGGTTCTGGACTTAAAACCACTCATTTAGTGACCATTCAAAGTTACAATGGCATTGTGACCAGTTTTCACACTTATAACCGTTTCAGCATCCCCTACACGTACATGATCAAAATTCAGACACCTGGCAGCTGGCTCATATTTATGACAATTGCATGTCTTAGAGTCATGTGATTATCTTTTGCAACCTTCCAACAAGTAAAATCAATGAGGAAGCCACTTAATAACTGTTATTTACTAAACAACTGCATGAAATGAAAGTGATTCATTTAATTAGGGCAAGAACGGTCGTAAAGTGGAGGAAAACTCAAAAGCTGTTTTGCCTAGCAGTGAAAATTTTGCGTTCAATTGTCGTAAGTCGACTACTTGTGTGTTCCTTCTCCCCTTTTTAAATAGCAGGAACTGAGTTTATCAAAGTTTTCCTCTGGTTCTGTGCCAGGAACCAGATAAAATTTCCTGTAATAATCATAGGAGTTCTTTTCTCCTTAACAATCCAAGCTAAACAGTCATCCATTTTGATACAGATCTTGTGGGGATTTGTTTTTTGATTGTCCTCTTAGAATTCTGAGCTCTCAAATTGAAAAAAAAATATTACATTTTCTTACAGGATGCATCCAGACAAGGGTAAGAAAAAAATTAAGATGAAATAAGTGGCATATTTATTTATTTATTTATTTATTTTATTTATTTTGTTATATTTATACCCCGCCCTTCTCCCGGAGGACTCAGGGCGGCTTACAGCCAGTTTAAAAACAACTAATACAATACAATACAAAATTTAAGAAAATGATTAAAAATAAATATTTAAATAGGCCGCTTCTACTAAAATTTAGTTAAAACCAATTTAAAATACCCCTAGGCCAGTCCTGCCCGCTGAAATAACCAAGTCTT